TATGCATACAGTATATGGTCCGCTAACAAAACGAAACCCCACCAGTTGTGAAAGCATATAAACACTCAAATCGCTAAATTTTATTGCTCTTAAATTCAAAAAATTCGATTGAAAAGCAAAACTTGGCCTATCGGAGATGAATGGATGAAAGATAAAACAACTATATCCAATCATCAAAGAAATACAAGAAATGACAATAAGACTAGTGTATTTGGACTGTTATACCCTCCGTTTATTATGTTTTGCGATTTATGTGCAATGTTGATTAGATAAGATTTAACCATTTAGTTTTTAACTTTCTCAAAGACGTGTTTATAAATTTCACTATTCTTTCTATATATTCCATATGAGAATTGGTTCAGTTACAGATAGAACACGATTTTTTTTTAGGATGCGATCTGAAATACCTAAAGCATCCATCACATTTAGATTCAATTGCAGAAGAGAACAACGTACCTAAAACATTGACTACAAGTGTTCTGCTTTCAAGCATGATAGTAGGTCTATATCCATTAATAAGTCTTTCAGTAAAAAAGCTTAAAAGAGAAGGTTTTCCTAGATCGGAAGAATTAATCGAGGATTGACTATTGCCTCTGCTCAGCAAATTTCTTAGAAAATATTACTTCATAGTCGGATGTGAAATAAATATAAAAATTCATTAATTTTTGCGAATTAAATGATAGTATCAAAGCTGAAGACTATAATCAATAAACTGTTCGAGATGTGATTCATTGTTATTATTTTTGAAAAGAGCAATGCTCTTGTTGATTATAGGTTGGTAATAAAATTGACGAGATCTTTTCAAATCATATGTGGGATCATAAAAAATTAGGATTTTGCGTGCGATATATAAGATATCAATTTACTAATGGTTAAAATGTTTACTAAGCATAAAAAAATTTAAAAGTATATAAGAGTAATTTGTATCAGATATTGAAAAAAATAAAAACCCCAATTATTGACAAAATCTACACATAAGCTTATTCTCTTCTCTATAGAAATTATCATTAAATTCAAGCTCTCTATTGCTCAATGTAATTCTTTTTGGACCCATATCAAAAAATAATAAAATTTTTTTTCTTAAAAACGATTGTATTTATTTTAGGTTATAATAACATTTTTATACTTTAATATACTCGCATTTTAACCTACTAATAAAATATATTTGCACTTTAAAATACCACTAAAATTATTTATTTCGCACTTTAACATGCAATTCTTGAATGTGTTCCAGGCATTAATCAGTCCAAATAATTTGCGCCAATTAATGATACAATAGTAAATTTATAAATTTTTATAGAACGAAAACACCATTTTTA